AGAGTACAGGGCAGCTAAAAGGGCAGAGATGGGGGAGATAGGTGAGTGGGGGGAGTTGAAGCGCACGCTGCAGTTGTAAATGCAGATGGGCTACCAAGCGTCTGAATTTTGATCACATGACTGGGGGGCACTGCAACAGCTGTAACTTCAAAGACTGGCTGTAACTATCTTTTGTTCAGCACTATCAAAACTTTGAATGGTCACTGAATGAATGATTAAGCGAGGACTACCTGTTTGCCTCTAACTCCACTCTACTGTTTCCTGTTAGTAAACAGAGAAAATTCTAAGTTGTCAGGTAGTTCTTGGTTTATGACCACAATTGGGACTGGAACTTCTGTCACTAAGTAATGCAGTTGTTAAGTGAGTCATGCCCAATTTTACAACCTTTTTTGCTGCGGTTGTTAAGCAAATCACGTGGTTGTTAAATGAATCTGTCTTCCTCCATTGACTTTGCTTGTCAGAAGCTGGCTGGGAAAGTTGCAAAAGGCAATCATGTGACCCCAGGATGCTGTAACTGTCGTAAATACATGTCAGTTTCAAGTGCCCAAATATTGATTATGTGATCACGGGGACGCTGCAAACAGTTGTAAATGTGAGGATCGGTTGTAAATCACTTTTTTCAGCACCAGTGTAACTTCAAACGCTCATTAAATGAATGGTCATAAGTCAAGGACTACCTGTATTTCTCCTGATTTTGGAATACCGCACTTGGATTGACTTTATGATAATCAAGTAGTACAATCTAGTTGCACTCATTCACCATTTCTTAATTAGATCACAAATAGAAATCCAAAATCAATATCTTTCTTTCAGTATTGCATGCAATAAAACATGCAGCAAGCAAGGAACAGAATTTTCATACAAAATTGAAGAACCTATTTTTCCATACAACTTCTATTATATCAAACAGTGATATCAAAATATCATTTAGCAGTTGAAAGTTACTGTTTACTTATTAATAAATCCTTTCAAAATACCTTAAAACTACTTTGGTGTCACCAAGGAATGCAATTAAAGGAAGGGATACAAAGACAGAAAAACACATCAGAAAGATGTGCAGTTAGAAGACTGCTCTGGTCACATAAGCTATTTATACTGTTATGGAAATGCATGGTTGCAGAGAAATTCTCAAGGCCAGCTTAAAGCCGGTATTATAGAGGGAGATATAACTTAGTCGTCTGAGAAACACTGACCATCAAAAATACTGGCCACCACTGATAAGCCCATTGTCCTTCATGCTCTCCAGTCTAACTGTGGCAGATATGAAGCCAGCCCACAAAGAGGACACAAAAATAGTTTCTCATGGAAGCAATTAATTCACAAACAAGGCCAGGTTCAATTGTTACCGCTCTTATGAGTTCTTCTCCAGACAGTAATAAGTCCCCAACAAAAGCATCCCAAGCTCACACCTTATCCTTCAAGAGGAGGTAACCTATCTGGAACTGGTTTCATACCATCACTTACATTAGCAGAACTCTCAATAAGGAAAAAAAAACAACCCTTGTTTTATCTAAATTAAATTTACCTTGTTCTCCCTCAACCATCCCAATGTCAGGATAGGGCCCAGACTCCACAGGATTTGTTAGAAAACATTAAATCAGCATGTCCACAGCATACTGATGACATTATAATTCTTCCACAATGATTTCCTATACTGAAAGTATGGAAGATAAGCCTGAACTCTAGGAACCCAAAATGGCCTGGAAATGTAATAGAAATCATTAGCACTACTTTGAGAGGGACTACCAATAAGATAAGATGTAGATGTGTATGTGTGTGTATGTATGTATGCACATAGGTACTGTATGTGTGTGTGTGTATACTATATGTATGTGTGTGTGTCAATAGACAGACAGATAGATAGAATGGATAACAGCTTATACAAATATTAAATCAAAAGAGACTTCAAAATAACCTACTAATAAAGCCATAGCACAAACTTTTAAATTAACAAAAGCACAATAAAATAAATTTAACTGAACAATTTGAAAGGTTTTTCTTTTCTTTTTAAGAAGGATCAAACATCTGTCATTTTACAATAAAATACAGTTGCAGCACACACTCCTTTTGG